TTTAATACAAATTAATTGACACTTTTTGCTTTCAAAATCCCCTTTTTGTGCGACTTTTCGAAATTTTCCAACGGTAACCCTGCTTATACCAAGCATAGGAGCGGATCTTTTTCTGTATTAAATATTTTCAGTTTGGGTTTCAGTTTCCGGATATTTATTTTTATTATAATGAATAAATCTCTATTCTGAATATATATAATCATAACCATTCAAAAAAACCTGTATAATACATACAGCTTTAAAAACAACCATTTTAGCTAAACTTTAAAACTCAAAGAATTTGCATTGTATGCATATTGTTTATATATGTATAAAGGTCGTCATTTGTAGCCACTTTTAAGCGATATCATTAATATAAATGTATTAAAAATGATTTAAAATCTAAAGAAAAATCGCTACATCATTATTTTCCCGCAAAATGCGATTAAAATCGCTAGATGTGACGAGAGAAAAGCTAAATTGGCAACAATGATACAGGATGAGTCGGGTTAGAGCAGCGAAAGACAGATTGTAAAAAAGTACTTCTCTAACTGACTTTCGTTTGTTTTGTATAGTGCCGGTCTACACAGGGAATTTTTTATTTTTTTTTTTTTTTGAAAGAGAAAAAAATATCAATCATGATACATTTAATAGCCAGAAAAGGATAAATTTCTTACAAGCGAAAAAAATATTTTTTATTTTTTGACATTAAATTTTTTTGGTTAAAATTAAAACTGAAAAACACAAAGTTGTAAATTTTCGTATAGTAAACGAAAATATATTTCAAATAAATTATTTATTTTAAGAAATTTTTCAAAATTTAAATTTATTATATTTTTTAATATTTTTAAATCCGATTTTTTGCAACTATGTGAGCTTGGGAATTCTACAATACAATATTAGAGTTAACTACCGACTGACAGTAGACTTACGTAGGTACTTTTAGACAGCGTTTCACTTCTTGATGTTCATTGCTTATACCCTACATGCACTGCTGCCAGATTTTTTTCAGTCCTCATCCCCAAATAATTATTTTTTATACCCAAAAATCCCCATCATCGAAAAATGTATATATTTTGATTTTTTATTAGACACTTAGATGATAATTTCATGCCTATACGTCAGTTTCCTAAAAGCCAAATTTTCCATAAATATTTGGTATTTTTTGGCAATGAAATGGGAGAATATCAGTCCAAGGTTTCCTCACAGTTAAAATTGTGTAACCCCAAGCCCATTAAACTACTCTTATAGAATAAAACTGGTTATTATCACTAATTCGTTTAAAAGTTATGCTATTAAGATAGAAAATAATTGAGTTCCCACTTCCGAAAATCATAATAAATCCATAAATCATAGTTTAAAAAATAAGTTTAAAAATGTGTATCCTTAAAAATTCCCCAAAATCATTTGATCATCCCCAACAAATACCCCTATCCCCAAACTTTAAAAAATCCCCTATTTGGGGATAAATCCCCTAATCTTTTTTCACAGACAGACGAGTGTAAATCCAACACATTTGTAAGAATTTTACTCTCTCTCTCAAAACTTCAAAACTTTTTCGCGAAAATTCGAGGAAAATAGCAGATTATAGAATTTTTTATCAGTAAACATATTTTACAAATATGTTGGATTTACACAGGACTCGTCTGTGAGAAGAGCGTAATGTTATTGTTGTTATTTTTGCAGTTAGATATCAAAATAAAATGTATATGTATATTTCAAATTAAAAAAATGAAACTGAAATATTTTTCAAACATTTCCATTTGGAAGCAAAAATTTTCAAGTTTTTTTATCAAAGGCAATTGATGAAATTTAAATATGTTTTCAAATACATATCTACATTATTTCAATTGGGTTATGTTTATTTTCAAGGTAGGGTACTTTGCTACCTTCTCTAACTCTAACTGCTCTAACAGTTTCCCTGATATACGAATTTTTATATTTAATTCATATGGAAGGTGCCAAATCCTATTGAAAATCCGCTAAATTATTACCCAAATGTTCATATGAGTGTCAGAGTTCTTCGTGCAGAATTTAAGATTCTAGCTCGAATAGTTTCCCAGATATACGAATTTTTGTACTTAAGTCATATGGAGGCCCCCTAATAAATGTCCGCCCATTTTTCACACAAATGTTCAAATGGATGTTAAAATTCTTTTCACAACATTTAAAGATTCTAGCTCCAATAGTTTCATAGATAAACGAATTTTTGAATTTAATTTATATGGGAAGTATCACGGGCTTAAAATCTAGTCCGCCAATTTATTACCCAAATGTTCACATGGATGTCATAGTAGTTCATGCTAAATTTTAATTTTAGCTCTAATAGTTTCTCAGATATACATATGAGAAAGTTATGAAAGTCCGTTCGTTTTTTTCCTAAATATTCTCATGGATGCAAAGGTGTAAGATGTTATCTACAATAGTTTTCCAGATAAATGAATTTTAGTATTTAATTCATATGGGAGGTGCCACCGCCCCTATTTCTCCGCCCATATTTTGTCTAGTGTTTATAAAAACCCGAATTTTGGTAAAACCGGTTTTTCAGTTAATTGAAAATTTATTATTTCTAGAAAACCAGTTTGTCGGTTAACCGAGTATAAAAAACCGGTTAACCGAAATGTTTGAAAATCTTTAAAATATTCTAATATTTAGTTAAAAAATTCCATTTTGCGAAGTATTATGAATTACTTAAAAAGATATTTCTTCTTTTTAGTATACATATTTACATATGTACATTGTTATGTAAGAATCAATTCTGAGTCGACTAAGACATGTCCGTCCGTCCTGTGCGCAAGCTACAAGATATTTTGAACAAATTTGTCTGTCCAGCTGGCTGTCCATGTAAACCCTGTCCGCAAGCTACAAGATATTTTGAACAAATTTGGATCATAAGTGTTTTCGGCACAAGTTGCCGATTATTATTTCACCTAGCCCCCTGACCTTCAGATTTGAGTTTTTTAACTACGTCAAATATACTACTATCTCTCCAAAAATTGGTACAACTAAGTTTTATATAGGCATAAATGACCATGCCGATTATTATAATGAAGTCCGTCAAATGAAGTCCGATCATTTCGAAATTCGAAAAGGTCATAGTACCAATATTTTAATGCGTTACAAACATCAGCAGAAACGCATAGTACCCTTCCCACTATTGTGGTGTAGGGTATAAAAACGTGGAAATGTTCTGTATTTTATTTAGTGTTCTGTATTTGTTCAGTATTTCGTTATTTTTTCAGTTTTACATAAAAACGCATAGAAAAACGCATCAGAAATACAAAAATATTAAAAAATTCTGACACAAATGTAGGTAATACAGTTTTTTTCAACATTTAACTATTTATAAAATAACAATTTTGTTTGTAAATAAGGGGTTATTCACGATATTTGTATAATAAAAAATAGAAATTTAAATGTTGAAAAACATAATCTAAAGCAGGAAATCATCAGCAAACATAGTTTACATCAATTCTTCAAATTACGCGCAAATTTCATCGATTTTAATCTAAAAATTATAAAGAAATAAAAAATACTCCATAGAAAATTTCAAACATTTTTTATATATTTTTTATATATTTTTTAATTCAAGGCTTTTAGATTATATTTAAAACAACAAAAAATAAACAAGTAAGAAAGTATAGTCGGGCGTGGCCGACCATATGATACCCTGCACCAGTCATGAATATTAAATGTGATTTATTTTTCATAATAAAGCATTTATCTTCAATATTCCCTTGTTCCGATACATTTAAGCAATTTATGGATGAAAAACTAATTTTCTGAAAGAGGCTTTATATGGGGGCTAGGGGCAAATATGGACCAAGCCCGATAAAATTTTGTGAATATATTTATATTTACATAATATTTTATTGTGCTGAATTTCATCGCGATATTTGTGTTTATAAGTTAATTTTGGACATTCAAGTAATTTTCTGAAGGGGACTTTGTATGGGAGCTAGGGTCAAATGGGGCCCGATCTTTATGAAATTTGGCAGGATCACTTCTATAAAACTTAGTTGTGCCGTATTTTATCGATATATCTACATATTTAACGTAATTATGAGCTCAGAAGCCCTTTTCGGGGGGTTCTGTTCTATGGGGGCTAGGTGAAATAATGGACCGATTTTAACCATTTTCAATAGGCTTCGTCCTTTGGTCAAATAAAACGTGCGTGCCAAATTTCAACCAATTATCTTATAAATTGCGACCTGTACCTTGCGCACAAGGTTTACATGGACAGCCAGCCAGCCCCACTAAAGTGGTGTAGGGTATAAAAATTCATACCATTTAGGAACTTATTCTTAAATATTATTAACTTTTATCAATGAAAGCAGTTCATAATATTTAAGCTGAAACTTTTTTCTGTGAACAATCAATATAATAATGTTTAAAACTTTATTGACAATTGAAATATTGACGGTTAAAAATAACCTGATTTAGAAAATGGTGGTTAGTGTATTTTATTTTCTCCTGTTCTGTATTTTGCTGAAAAAATATGGTCGGCCATGCCCTACTATACTTTCCTACTTGTTTTAAAATATTTTTGGTTAAAAATTTTAAATATCACTATTATTGAGTGCGGCTTATATTTTTCAATTCATCACTAAACCTAAATAGAAGTAGTGAATAATTTTGAGCTACCACTAATTATTAGTAGTTTAAAATTAATGCGCTTTCCCCATCTTTGTATGTGGCTATTTGTTTCAAAAATACCAGCAAACTTCAAAAAGATTATTAAGAGTCAGAAGGTTAATATGGCGATTAAAAGGTAGAAGGACACTACCTTAATATTTCTATCATGAGCTATACATTTTAATCTGAAAACAATTTGAAAAAAAAATATATTATCTATTCAGTTAAGAAAGTTTTTAAAAATTTTCACAGGTTTGAGTCGATGTTTATTGGGTAAATACTTTAATTTATTTTTGTTCATAAAACATGTAAAATATGTATGTCTGTACAATGTACATTGTAAGTATGCGAAATTATTATTAGATATTTTTGCTTTGTATTTGCAGGTTTAAAATTTATAATTTACAATTTCAATCGGATGAAATGCAACAACGCATTACCGTTGATGGCCCACAAGTGGGAAATTGGTTTGCAGTAGCTTTTATTAGTTGGACAGATCCTAATAATGATCGAATTGAACAGCAAGGTGAGAAATTCAAACATATTCCCAAAAGTCTTATTTTGTTCCTTAAAGTGTGAAAAAATTAAAAGTTCGTACAATTAGTTTCGGTGGTTTTAATACTAATGCTTAATATTATCTATACGCAATAAAAAAACTGTTAAAAAATACTACATCAAAATGGCTTTTGACTTAAAGTTATATCAAATGAAGTCCTTCTAATTCTACGCATAGTACAGTATGTATGTATGTATGTATGTATGTATGTATGTATGTATGTATGTATGTATGTATGTATGTATGTATGTATGTATGTATGTATGTATGTATGTATGTATGTATGTATGTATGTATGTATGTATGTATGTATGTATGTATGTATGTATGTATGTATGTATGTATGTATGTATGTATGTATGTATGTATGTATGTATGTATGTATGTATGTATGTATGTATGTATGTATGTATGTATGTATGTATGTATGTATGTATGTATGTATGTATGTATGTATGTATGTATGTATGTATGTATGTATGTATGTATGTATGTATGTATGTATCTATGTATGTATGTATGTATGTATGTATGTATGTATGTATGTATGTATGTATGTATGTATGTATGTAGGTATGTATGTATGTATGTATGTATGTATGTGTATGTATGTGTGTATGTATGTATATCCTTATTGTAGACATTTGTAAACCAAATACGCAAATTCTTTTGTATGTTTTTATTTCATGTTGAGAAACTGTTTTGTTGAAAACTTCATTTTTGGTTCATACATAAATTACTTTTTTATAATTTTGGTAAATTTATGTACATACATACATGCATTTCATAAACAGAAAATATCATCTACAGTTTTTTGAAAAATAACAACAATAACATTCTTTAAGGCTTATCACAACATTTGCTATGTACATTAGAGTGATTCAGGCTTGTATGAAGAAACAAAATTCTCTGACAGGCCCCCCCTCTAGAATTGTTCTTTGAGTTGTAAAACTATGTTATACAAAAAATTAGGTTGAGAGGATAACGTTAACAGGTGCCGCAACGGCTCTTAACTTTCCAAATGCATTTACAAGGGGAAAATATTGATTTTTTCCAGTTTTGCTCAAATTTGGCCATTTAGAGTGTGTGCCAATCGGTAACAATTTACTTGAAAATGTAAATTTTTGATAGATATGAGGTGAATAAAATTTTAAAAGAAAGAAAAGAAAAATTTGAAAATACAAAAAATAAAATATTTTATAATTTTAGTTTATAATACATTTGTGATCGTAGAAATTTATTTTAAAAATAAAAAAATCAACAATTCTTTTGTTAAAATAAATGCAGATTTTCTTGTGAAATTAGTGACAATTGTCAAAATTTAATGTAATCAAAAAAAAGATTTCGTTTGGCACAACAAAAATGATAATATTTTCCACCATAAGAAAATTTTATTTTACCATAGAACTTTGCTGCCGTTTGGCACACAGTCTTAGTAATAAATTTTGAACTTTATTGTAAAGGAATCGTAATGTGCACAGAGTAAGCATTTCGGGAAGATATAAAAAATAGCTTGAAAACTTTAAAAGTTATTCATTCCAGGCCATTAACGTGTCTCACAGCACATGAATTCGAAATGTGACAAGAAAATTGGTATATAATCTAATTTAAATCAATACTTCTTACAGTTTAGCAGTACCTTTTGGTTTGAACTTATCGGATTTCGGGAAAATCGAATTTTTCGGTAATATTTTAGAGAATACTTAATAATTATTTACTGTTTTACATTTTCCAGATAATATGAAATATATATCCGAAGTTTTATTCAAATCGGACTTTTTTAACCCATAAACTGTGGAGTTCTAAGGTCAAATTTTGCAATATTTGTGAATTCTCTGTGTATCATATTTACCAAAAATTACTGGAATTTATCGTATATAGTCCGATATTTAAAATAGAGTAAAAAAGGCAAATTAACCCTTTAAGGCACTTGGGTTCAATTTAATACCAAAGTGTATTTCATTCATAAAATAAATCATTAAAAATATGAGATATAAAATCAAAATTTTAGCATGTTATTGTTCTATAGTGGTATACGGTGATGTCCCCATACAAATAGTGGATAGGATGGTACTTAGTGTTAGCTTTATTGAATAAAGGCTCAAATAGACTATACAAGCGGCTTATCAAACATATTTTTTTCATTCGCACACACTCTACACAAACATTGCTCGCACAAACACAAAGATACAGATCTCAATTTTTCTTAGAAATGTACATTTTTTTAACAAAATTTTTATTAATGAATATAAACCATACAAATGGTTTGACAAAAATTCAATATGTTTGTATAAAAATCAAATTTTTTTAATTTTTGTACAAACAAACAGCAAGCATTTGTACAAACACGAAACACCCTCATACACTACACAACAGGCTTGCACAAACGTAAAATATTGGTATGTTTGTCAAGCCGCTTGTGTAGTCTATTTGGGTCTTAAGAATCAATATAATACAATTCTAAATAAAATTCACATTCCTACTCCCCAAATAGATGGGGTTTCCGTAATGTAGTTTTTGTTTATCAATACAAAATGACCAAAAACTCAAATTATTTTGTTATAATATATAGTTTTATACCCCACAAAACATTTTTTCTAGGTCCAAATCCATAGATTTTCTAGTATACAATGTATCCAATTTAAAATTACTTATAATTTTTGAAATAAAAACAAAGAAACGATAGATTTCATGTTAAGTTAAATATTGATAAATTCTTATAGGTATATAGGATAATAAATCGGTTAGAAATTTAGTCGTACCACAACTAAAATATCTAAAAAATTTTATTTTAATATATAAGAGTAATAAAAATGTTAAATTTTATAAAATAATACAGCAATATTAAAAAAAATTAACAAAAACCTAAAAAAGCAAATTACTTTATTGAACTAAAAAATTAACAATACGTTCACATTTTATCAAAAATTTCGTTAATTAATATCACGATTTTACTTTTTATGGTAGAAAATTAAAATAAAAATTTAAAAAATTCAATAAACAAATTGCTTAATTTTGCTAAAAATAATTGATCAGATAAAGTTTTTATAAAATTTTAAATATTACTTAATTGATTCACTGTATATGTATTTATAACTACAGTAGCCCAGCAAAAAATCTGAAATTTTTGGTAATAGCCAGTAGTTATTTCATACATTACTTGGTAATGAGTGTTCATTATCATCCACATTATTTTATTTAGCTGAATAGGTTATTACTGGTAAAGAACAAGACAATTTGGATTTGTTATGGCTCAATTGTCTAGGTCGTTCATTTAACAAACAGGGGGTTCGTGGTTCGAGCCCTGCTGGATACTGTTTAATTTTTTCAAAATGACATTCATTTATATATTTTTGTAAAAAGCCGTTCTCAAAATAACAAAAATCAATATGTTGATGGAGCATCGAGTAAGCGGCAGGAGTGAGAAGCATAGAAAATAACTGAATGCCTGGGTTCAAATCCCGGCCGAGGAACTTTTTTATTTTTTGTTTTCTACATACAAAGTCGGCCCAAAATAACTAGTTATCACATAACATATTTGTAGGTTTATTTGTAACTAGTTATTTCGCAAAGTTTTTGTAATCAAATTAGTAACCATTTATTAATTTGTTTAAGGTAGGTACATATTATTTGAACCTCGTCGAACAAAAATAATTAGTTATTCACCCCAAAAGTAATTAGTTTCCACGTGATTACAATATTACTTTCTAGATTACTGGGTAATGAAAATTTTTGCTGGGAGTATTCACTGCAGCAGTAATATACATAAATAATGAATCCACAGGAGATTTTTTTAGTTGGTTTATTCTGGTGCATTTCACTTCTGATAAAGGCTAAATTCACACTCTCATACACAAAAGCACAACCAGTAAACAGAAGATAATTTACATTAGAGTGCTCCAAGCTTGTATGACGAAAAATGTTGTCCTTCAAAGTCATGTAAACGTTGCGGAATTTTCAAAACGGGCGTTTAAAAATCTAAATGTTTAACCAATAGCTGCGATCAGGCTCTAGTTATCTTATAACGACAAAACTCATGTTCGAATAATTACGCATATGTAGATTTGACAATCATGTATCATTTGTCAAAGAATTGCTAGAAATTGTCAGATAATTTTTTATTCTCATGATGTGTTAAAAAGAGTAGTTAGTAAATACAATCATTATCAGTTAGAGCCCGCAAATTTGGTCGGAGCCACATAAGTCTCAATATAATTAGTTAGGATAAAAAGTGGGCGAACTAGCAGCAGGGGGCGTGGCACCTCCCATATTAATTAAAAACACAAATTCGTTTATCTTGGAAACTATTATAGTTAAAAGCTTCAAATTTTGCACGAAGAACTTTAGCATCCATGTAAATATTTTGGGTAATAAATTGGCGGACTACCAATGGGGAGAGCGTCACCTTCCATATGAATTAAATACAACAAAATAGTTTATCTAAGAAACTAATATAACTAGATTCCTTAACTTTTGCAAAAAGGACTTTCATATTCATCTGAACCTTTTGGGGGAAAAAAGCGGACTTTTATCAGGGGGTGGCTTGGAAACCCCATATGAATTATATAGAAAAATTTGTATATCTGAGATACTGTAGAAGCTAGAATCTTCAAATTTTACATGAACATTCATGTGAACTTTTAGAGAAAAATGGGCGGACTTTTAATGAGGGGATTGGCCCCTCCCATATGAATTAAATACAATACAATATAATTTACATTTTCATAGCTTACATTAAAATCCTTATTAGCGTTCGGAAAAATTGGCGAACTTGCAGTAATTTGAGTGGCATTTCCCATGTGTAAGTGGATTTTTTTTTTGCTTTTAGGGTAGCAAAGCACACTGGGTATAGCTAGTATTATAGAAAATTCAAAAAGTACCTTTTGTAGAACGAAAAAGTACCAAAAAATCCCCTTTTATAGATTCTCACCCAATCAAGATCCTACATGCTAAATTTCGTGTTTCTAGGT